GTCTTTTTTTTCTTTAGATGAAAGGATATCTACAGGAGTGTATGCTTGTGAGACTTAAGGATATCCTTACGAGCTTGACATGGCTGATAAAAGTGCCATATAAAGGCAGTTAATATGCTCACACTCCTCTTTTGGTGCCTTATGATAACGATTGCTTACTTCAAAATAGCACATCTGCATTTTTTTATGCTCACTGTGAAAGAATATAACTGTTATCAAATCAAGAGGAAATAATGTGGATATCTTTGTTTTCAAATGTTTATGACGTTATTCATGATAAATATCCAATGACATTTTAGTGATGTTCTTTGCTGTGCAATCACTGAAAGAATTTAAGGGTAGGGAAGGGAAGCAGCATATATACCCCATCCACAGAACTCATAAGAAATGCTTCCTTTCTGGAAGTGATTTTATTACAAATCACTTTAGTAATATCTGACCTTTTGTTCTGTAATAAAACACAAGAGAAAATTGTCACCGTTATTTTATACAGTTTATTATGTTATTATCTATCAGGACTGCTTGTGTGAGGTGGTTTTGTGCTTTTCTAGGCATATATTAGTTTTTCCTAAGCAGTGTTGTTCTTTTTTGCCCAGTCTAGCTACCCATGTTCTGGTTGTTAAGGTGATGAATGAACTGAAAATATCTCAGTACATCCAACATGTATAAAAATACCAATATTCATAATCTCTTTTTGCTTCTGATGTGAAGGGGGAACTTGCATTAGTAGTGGTGGACATGAGGTGACAATCTGTGTGTACTTTCACTTTATGTTAAGAGTTTTGAATATTGCTCTAACTTGGCTAATAAAGGATTTTGGCAGGAAAGAGATGGACAAGCTTATGGGAATTGAACTGTTAGGCTTCTAAGAAATGTGACCCCGTTTTCCTCTGTGAGATTGCTTTTGGCAGTCGTTGAGCATTAATTGTTGACCAATTATTGTGTCTAAACCTTAATAATAATAGGGGAGCACTGGTTAAAATTTTTGACTTTCGGGAAAGATTATTTCTTATTTGTAGCTACTTTATTCTAGCATATTTGACACTGAGAAGTGCAAAGTGTATTGCATTGTATTGTATTTCAGAAATATTGTGAGTATTTGTGTAGTTTGCACATGGAATAACAATAATGAATTAGATTAAGACATCTGTTCTTTTGGGATAAGCTTTGATTTATTAAATCTAAATCATGTGAGTTGTGCTCTGATAATTGTTACAACTGACTTGACAACCTTAGCCTGGTACAAGAAGCATTTGTATGTTATTTATAGATATTTGTCAGTATTGTAGGACTCTACCTCAAAAAAACTGGACTAGATATTTTGGCCAAATTTCCTGAATTAGAATTTGAGAGTCCAGATACCCTTATATATTCTGCATTACAAACATCTGATTTCTTCTTCCATTATACAGTAGTGGTTGTTTAAGGTTGTTTATAGCCTCTTGGGCATTATTTTAAAAGTGAAAATACATTTCTGTATTCAGATAGTATGAAACTCTTGGGATTTTCAGACTGCCCTTACATTTTCACTCTTATTCAGACAATTCTAAGAAAATGATTTTTAAAAGATTGTTGCAGACTAATAGGCAATGGAGCTGTGAAGGATCTGGAGCACAGGTCCTATGGGGAGTGGCAGAGGGTCCAATTTTGAGGGTCCGATTGATGCTTGGCTGAACATGGGCCAGCAGTGTGCCCAGGTGGCCAAGAAGGCCAATGGCATCCTGGCTTGTATTGGAAATAGTGTTGCCAGCAGGAGCAAATGATTATCCCTCTATACTCAAGAGTGCTGTGTTCAATTTCGGGCCCTTCTCTACAAGGAAGACAGTGAGGACCTGCACTGTGTCCAGAAAAAAGCAATGGAGCTCTGAGGGATCTGGAGCACAAGTCCTGTGGGGAGTAGCTGAGGGAGCTGGAATTGTTTGTTCTGGAGGATACTCAAGGAAGACCTTATCACTCTCTGCAGCTACCTGAAGGGAGGTACCAGAGGGAATGGCTTCAACTTGCAACAGGGGAGATTCTGATTGGATATTAGGAAAAACTTCTCAGGAAGAGTGGTCAGGCATTGGAACAAGGCAGACCAGGAAGTCACTGTCTCTGGAGGTGTTCAAGATATGCTTAGATGTAGTATTAAAGCACAGAGGGGAAATCTTGGCGGCAGGTGGATGGTTGGACTAGGTGATCTTGGAAGTCTTTTCTGACCTTGATTCTATGAAATGCATTTCTTGAAGTTAAAGTGAAAATGCCTTCAATTTGTGTACCGACTCTGAGACATACAAGGAAGTGCTGGCTGAGGTTCTTTTTTTGTGGCTGAGCTCTGTATGAGGACTAGAATTCTGGATCAAAGAAGCTTGTAATAGTACACGCTGACTGAATTCAGCAAAAATAATCCATTATCTTCAGTGATGCAGTTAACATACAAAGTACACTACTTACCTGTCTCATATCCTTTTTCATTTCTCAGTGCTTTGGTCTAACAGACCTGCCAGTAGCGTGTTGCTTTCGGGGTCAGTCCTACCTCTCATGTTACTTCTATTCTTTCGACCCATTTCTTTGATAACTTTAGAAGATTAAATGAACTACTTTCACTACCTGTTCTGCGGAGTCCTACCTATGGTTGTGTACTGTGCTGTTCATTAGGTAAAGGAAATTGAATCCCTAACACAGTTACTCTAACACAGCATGGGGATTAATCTTCCCTCGCACTTAGGTACTGGGACATTCACTAAGTCTAACAAACTTAACGAGATGGTAAGTGTAACTGACGGTGAGAGAGGAACTTATTTATGTTTGCTTGTGAGGTATTGACTTTCTTACTCTTGGAGGTCACTTGAATGTCTTTTAAGAATTACTGAAATGTTTATTGATTTCAGGGTTTAATTATTATGCCTACTCCACATCTGCTCCTTCGGTCTCTTTTCTAGTAACAGATAACAGACTGTGTAGTTTCTACTAAAAGTTAACTCAGCTCTGTTAATAAATTAATGTATAAAGATAGCACACATTAAGAGAGAGACAAGAATACAAATATTGAGGAAGATGGGGATTTATTTAGTGTGGAAGGAAAGCACTAGGACTGCCAGTGAAGCCGCCTTTCCTGGTAGGTGGATGGCTTATGGGGGCTGAGTATGGGACTGTTCCAATAGCAAAGCCCAATTTCCACTTTGGGGCTCTGAGGTGTGTTGATACAAACAGGTTTCAAGGCACATAGTAGTGCCAGCCCTGCAGAATGATGACAGACCAAGTGATCCATCTTAGCACTGAGGCAGCATTGACTCCCTCCTAGAAGCCACAGGAATGGGACAGAATGGTGTGGGATGGCTGCACCATAGCCATGTGGCTGCAGGCATCTCTGTCAATGACTGGGTCTCCAACACACCAGAGAGATCACCAAGATGCCACAGCTGGCAGCAATGCAGGCCAGGGGCCACTTCCTCCTGCAGTCCTGGCCCAAGCCATGAGCAGAGAAAGCAGTATGGCCACAGTCCTTCCAGGTCTTCGAGGTGCCTGGATAGCGATCCAGGCCTGAAGAACCCTTGCCTGCAAAATCCTGCAGCCATCCTGTTGTAGGGCTGGCTGAAAACCGCATGAGGAATGATTTCTAAATCTGCTGCAGAGAATTTTCAAGGAAATCCCTTCTTCCTTTGTATCTCAACTAACAACACATCAAATGCTTCCTTGATGTTAAAAGGCCCCTGAGGAAATAAGCTGCTAGCTGCATGTTTACTTTACCTTGGCTCAGCACAGAGGGACAGTTTGTGTGCAAAATTGGAAATCAGACTGCTAAGACAAAGCAAGCAGACAGGCTGGAAATGTTTGGCACAATGCCATTATTATATCTGTTATGTAAAAGCTAGAGTTAGAAGAGGGGAAGCGTAAAGGAAAAACAAGTCACAAGGCTGGCAGCTGCAAATTAGTGTCTTAATGCCTCTTACAGGTCAGAAACGTTTTGCTCTGTGCCTTTCTTTGATAAGTAAAATACATGTGCTTTCACTGTATGTTCTAAAGAGAAGAGGTGACTAGTGCTTATGTGTGGTTATGAATTAAAGGGGTCATTATGTCAGCTAGTCCATAAACAAGATAAGTTATCTGTTGGAGAGGAGACTGAAACGTTTAAATGACTTTCCCACCCCCCCCCCCCCCGTTTATCTTTTGGTCATTTAAGATAGCCTTACCACACAGGCATTTTAAAGGGATAATTTGAAAATCATCCAAGATTCAATTACCTCTAGGTGGGCGGATGTATTTGCATTTAAAAGGGATTTTAAATGGAGAAGCAATTAAATTACAGTATATATGTATTTAAAAGAGACCTCTTTCTACATATCTTCATTGCTTTTTCTCTCAGTCTCACTAAATGCTTGTGATTTCAAGTGTAGACCCTTGCTTTTCACAGATGAAAAGGCAAGGCAAATAATAGGTGCTTCTGTCTGTTAAAGAGAGCTTACATGTGTATGTGTACATGTTTGTGTGTTTGGATGTATGCAGTTTCAAATAAATAGAAGCGTCATTATCATATCGTTCAAAGCATAGCAGATTCTCCTTGGTCACCTACTGATTTAAACACTGTGACTGGTGCTCAGTTTATGCTGGCTGGCTGCCAAGCAAAAGCAATTATGTGCAATAACAGCAAAATTAAGAGGTGAATGTTGCCGTTTTACAGCAGGACATGGCAAAAAACATTTCCTTCTGTCAGCTCTGTCTTGGTTGCACACAAAGTCAGGCATGCACACTCTCATACACATATACGTACACACACATATTTGCACGCAGGCTCTTGTTCTTTTTTGTTTGCTCTCTTTCCAGTGGGTTTCACCTCGAGGTCACTGAAACTAGGAAAGAGGAAGCGTATAGACCACAGTGTTTGAAAGCAAACAAGAAAAAAACTCTGACTTTGTGGAGAAGGAAAAATATCGGAAGAAAAACAAAATGAAACAGAAAAATCCTACTCCAGTTGTTGTGATGTTGGCTGTGATAATACTTTGTTTTTCTCCCACTGGCAGGTGTCCTGGTGGTAAACGTTACGTGGAGGAACAAGACTTACGTGGGAACGCTGCTGGACTGCACAAAGCATGACTGGGCCCCTCCCAGGTAGGCAATTGTTCTAATTGTGTTTTTTCTCTGCTGAATGTGTTTTCACTCCCACTTTCCGTCGAGAGACTGTATAGAGATAATAAAAACCAAATGGTTATAATTGAGAACATGCAGCCATGAAATGAGTAATTCTCTCTTTTCCACTGAAAACTGAGGGCCTGCAGGTGGGATGCTTTATTTGCTTTTGTTTTGTGTTTTTGAGAGGGAGTAGGAGATGCATGGGATTCAAGCAAAGGGAGATAAATATATGTATATTTCCATAGGTTTGGAAAAATTTTCTCTCCGTTGTAATTAGGTAGTCTAATTTTTTGCCATTATTGTCTTTTTTTTTTTAAATCTCGTTCTTTTTGAGACTCCAACACTATTATTTGGAAAGACATCTGTCCTTTAATACACATGAAAGTCATGAAAGTTCTGTTATGGGAACCAGTGTTATTTTGACATATCTCTTCAGTTCACAGCTCCTTCTGATGACATCTGCTCTTGTTTACGTTTAGGTTTTGTGAATCTCCAACGAGTGACCTGGAAATGCGAGGAGGAAGGGGTAGGGGGAAGCGGGCAAGGTCTGCTGCAACTGTGGCTGTACCTGGAAATGATACAAGTTTCACTGAGTCTAGGGGACTTCAGAGTAAGAATCGAGGTGGTGCTAATGGAAAGGGAAGGAGGGGTAGCCTTAACTCAAGTGGACGCAGGACACCCCCAAATTGCTCTGTGGATGAAGTCAAAGCCAGCCCCTCTTCAACAAACAAGAGAAAAACTAAGCCTCCTATGGAGCTAGACTTAAACTCCAGTTCAGAGGACAGTAAGTGTGGAAAACGTGTTCGTACTAACTCCAGGAGCACTCCAACCACCCCACAGGGGAAACCAGAGGCTACTTTTTTGGACCAAGGCTGCTCTTCTCCGGTGCTGATTGACTGTCCTCACCCCAACTGCAACAAAAAGTACAAGCACATTAATGGACTACGATACCATCAGGCTCATGCACATTTAGACCCAGAAAACAAACTGGAGTTTGAGCCTGACAGCGAGGACAAAATTTCAGACTGTGAGGAACCATTGAGTAATGCGGCACTTGAATGCAGTGAAGCAAGCACAAATTTGCCAGGCTTTGATCCACTAAAAGCACCAACATCTCCTTCCTCTGTTACTACCCCAGGAACCCCCAAGGGAAAAAGGGAACCGACCAGCAATGGCACCAGTTCAGTTATCAGTTGCAAAACTGGCAAGAATTCAGGCAAAAAGAAGGGTCTGAACAGTGAACTGAACAGCCTTCCAGTAATTTCTAACATGTCAGCCACACTGGATAATTGCTCTGTAACAGATGGCAATTTGCAAACTGAAATGCCAAAACTGGAGGCCGAAGGGTTAATAGACAAGAAGAGTTTGAGTGATAAAGGCAAGAAAGCTAATAACTGCAAAGTGGATAAAAACATTTCCAAACTGAAAACAGCCCGGCCCATTGCCCCAACGCCAGCACCGGCTCCTCCCCAGTTAATAGCTATACCTTCTACAGCCTTTACAACCAGCACTACAGGGACAATACCAGGACTGCCCTCTCTAACAACTACTGTTGTTCAGGCTACACCAAAGAGCCCTCCGCTAAAACCTATTCAACCAAAGCCCACAATTATGGGAGAGCCAAGCACTGTAAACCCAGCTCTCACATCACTCAAAGACAAAAAGAAAAGGGAGAAGCGTAAGCTAAAGGACAAAGAAAGCAAAGAGAGTGGAAGCCCTAAAATGGATTCTAAGCTGGGAAAGCTAGAGGATTCAAAAGGGTCTGGGAAAGATTTATCTGGACATTTTTTAAAGGACCATCTCAATAAGAATGAAGTGTTAGCTAATGGACTTTCTGAGTCTCAAGAGAGCAGGATGGCAAGTATTAAGGCTGAAGCTGATAAGGTTTACACATTCACAGACAATGCGCCCAGCCCTTCTATAGGGAGTGCCTCCAGGATGGAATGCAGCACTTTGGTGAATGGACAATCTTCAATGGCGCCACTGCATGTGTTAACACAAAATGGTGCGGATAGCGCTGCTGCCAAAACCAACAGCCCTGCTTACTCTGATATTTCTGATGCAGCTGATGATGGTGGCTCTGACAGCCGGTCAGAGGGTGTGAGGTCAAAGGCCAGCTCTCCTTCGGATATCATTTCTAATAAGGACAGTGTTGTAAAAGTACATTCTTCAACCGCATCACAGTCGGCACAAGCGAAAGAGTCCCATTCTCCCTATTACCATGGCTACGATCCTTATTATTCTCCAAGTTACATGCAGTCTGGACAGGTCAGTGCCCCAGCAGCTGGAAACTGCAGTACCCCACAGGGACTGAAGATCAAAAAAGAGGCAGATGAAGAGGCTGAAAAGAAGGAGAAGGGGGAACCGTCAGAAGCCAAGAAGAATGAAAGTGGTTCCTCTAATTTGCAGCCACAACATCAGTCAGTAATAACACAAAGACACCCTGCACTTGCTCAGTCACTTTATTATGGACAGTATGCCTATGGGCTCTATATGGACCAAAAGTCCTTAATGGCCTCTAACCCTGCTTACAGACAGCAGTATGAAAAATATTATGAGGACCAGCGGCTAGCAGAGCAGAAGTTGGTACAGACTGGGAGGGACTGTGAAAGGAAGAATGAACCTCCGTTGAAGGAAATTGGAAAGGATGATAAGCAGAAAAATATTCCGTCTGCAACTATTTCAAAGGCTCCTTCAACTCCGGAGTTGAGCAAAAATAACACTAAAATAGGGTCTTTGGTCCCTAGCAAAGGTGAGGAGACAAGCAAATCACAGATCCTTTCCAATCACCAGCAGCAGCTTCAGTCTGACAGTTTCAAAGCCAAACAAATGGAAAACCATCAGCTCATAAAGGAGGCTGTGGAGATGAAATCTGTCATGGACTCCATGAAGCAAACGGGCGTAGATCCAACTACAAGATTTAAACAGGTGAGATCACAGGAAATGGAACAAGAATGTCTTGGTTTGTCCTTAAAATGTGTGGGATTTTATCCCTGATTTTGCCATGTTCTTCTACCTTTGCAGTCAAGCGAGCTCCACCATCCTTTTTTCATGCTGGATAGTACTGTGGTCTGTGAATAGACCAATAGACCTTTCAGTGGAGCTGCTTGAAAAGAGAAAAAAAGATCTAGCAAGGTGGTGACAGGATCCAGACTTAAGACTTGAACAGACTATTTTAAATTACATGCATGAATAAAAATAATTAGATTACTCTTTTAGATGTAAAAGCTAAGCAATTTGCTTAGTTCAGAAATGAGACATTTCAAGCAACATAAGCAGCTTCCATTGTGAGAGGACTTGAAGTAGATTTGAAACATGGTTTGAAGTGTTTCCTTTTTTTTTTTTTCTTTTTTTTTTTGTTAAATGACAGTTGGCATTTACAAAAGATGGGTGAGCTGGTTCTTTGAAGAGTTGGCTTGTAGCTCAGCTAGTTATCTTAACCCAAGGTGACCTTTTTGAAACAGTTTAGTTCCCCTTCTCTCCTCAACCAACCTCAAACCCCTACGGACCCACACAATGGATGAAATCCTTTCTCCATTGAAGTCAGTGATAGTTTTGCTGTTGACTTCAGTGGAACCAGAATTTCATCCAGTGGCTCATGCTGACCTTCCTAGATGTCAAATTTCCTTCATTCCAGGCAATGTTACTGACTCTGTGTTCTGAACTGAAGCCTCAGCGCTTAACACTTTCATGTTCTGGGGTATGATACAACCCAAACTTCACCCTAGCAGTCTGTCTTTCAAGATGCAGTGGGGTCAGGTGAATGGGAGTTGGAGAGCTCTAAAGTAACTGGGATGGCACAGGCCTGAGAAGAAGATTTCTTCTGATTCAAATGAATTTTTGAACCAGACAGTCCAAGCGTCTAATTCTGTGCTTATGTTTTCATTGCATGTGTATCTGTTAGAGCAGTGTTTGCACTTAGCTGTTCCATATTTTGCATTAAAAAAAAAAATAATAATAAAAAAAATAAAGTCTTGCTATTATTGTTCAGTACTGATGATTTTATGTAGTCTGGTAAATAAGTCACCTTTTTAATTCTACAAAGTGTCTATAAACTGTTTTATGTAATATATTAAGCAAAAAATGCATTTGTGATACCCTGTATATGTACCCTAAGCCCTGTGTTGACACTGTGAATGTTTATCCATGTGTAATTTTACAAACTTAAAACACGACTGCCAACCCAGAGAAGCCTGCTGAAGTGTCTGACCTGGACTGATTTATGAATGTTTGCAATATCTGATAGCATAATCATCTTTTCAGCTAGATTTGTTTTTCGCATTCATTGTTCCAGGTAATCTAAATGCTCTGACGTATCGTTAGGCAGCTTTAATTTCGTGGTTCGCAGATATTTTTTGCTCTCTACTGGGAAGATATCTCTGTGGGCTTTAATTAAAATGTTTTATGAATAGCATGGTCTCAGAACTTTGGTACAATGCATACGTATTTCATGATTAAAATAGTTAAAGGCATGAAGAAGGATATAAAATGAAGCAGTTGAATTAAATTTTGATAATAGCCTCTTAGTCTTTCATGGGAATATTGGTTTGTCTCTGAGCTCAAGGCACTCTGTAGCAAGCAAATCTCTATGTAATATGGATATGTTATTAAACTAGTTGTTAAAAGTGCATTAAGTGAAATGTGAGGAATATCAATATTGATTTTTTTTCAACATACAAGTTTAGAACAAAATTTTCTTCTCCTCCATATTAGGATCCAGATACACGAACATGGCATCATTATGTCTATCAGCCTAAATACCTTGATCAGCAAAAATCAGAAGAACTTGATCGGGATAAAAAGTTAAAAGAAGACAGCCCTAGAAAAACACCTAACAAGGAAAGTTCCCTGCCTAACCTTCCTGTCTCATTAGCAAGCATTAAAGAGGAGCCTAAAGAGGTCAAGCGTTCTGATTCTCAATCAGTGGATGAGAGCAAGATAAAAAATGATGATCGAAAGACTCCTGTAAATTGGAAGGACTCTCGAGGTGCTAGAGTAGCAGTTTCCTCACCAATGAGTCAGCATCAGTCATATATCCAGTACTTGCATGCTTATCCTTATCCACAGATGTATGATCCCAACCATCCAGCCTATCGAGCAGTCTCTCCTGTCCTAATGCACAGCTATCCTGGTATGTATTCTGAAATTTGCCTTGTGTACTCGTTAAGATTTGCACATTCAAAGTGTAGTGAAGCTTGAATTTTATTATTTCTGATAGTAGCTAAAGTAAATCAGAAGCTTTGTGGGTGACATTTGTATTGTTAGTGCTTCCACTTGGGAAAGTTCTATAGATCAAACAGATTTGACACAAAATGTTCCTTTTTTGAACTGTCACAGTTTCCAGCCAGAGTTTCCTCAATCCTTGACTGTCTGCTGTTGCTGTTAGACTGATGGATAGGTTATAGCCTATAAAAATATTCTAAGCACTTACAGTCAAAACCATAATAGTTACTTCTTTCACTTAAAGAGGACCCATAAATGTATGAAATGGCTATCAGCTCAACCTTCTTTATAATCTCCATTCCATAATCAGCCATCAGGATAAAGTAGATATTAAAAAAAAAAAAAAAAAAAAAAGAAGAAGAGCAAAGCTTCTGTCTGATAGCCCCTTGATCTGATCTTGATGTTACCCTCTCCCCTGGCATTCCCTTCTGCTACATCAATGCAACCAAAATGTGAAAACAGCAACCTGATATTGTATTTCTCGTTTACCTGCAGGGGCATATCTCTCTCCAGGATTTCATTACCCAGTTTATGGGAAGGTGTCAGGGAGAGAAGAGGCGGAGAAAGTCAGTACCAGCCCAAGCATCAACACAAAATCAACCACTGAGTCCAAAGCACTGGATTTGCTCCAGCAGCATGCCAGCCAGTATCGCAGCAAGTCTCCTGTTGTAAGGCTTCCTCTGTTGTTATTCAGGAGTGGTGCATTTGGAGATGTCTAAAGAACACCATTTTAAGAAGCATACGATCTGGCATCAAGCATTGAATACATAATGCTTCTTTGTATTACTGCTTAAAATCAGTTTCAAGTCATGATGTTTCTGTGACGTAAATTAGAAGTGACACATGTAACAGGGTTCTTGTTCTCAGAGTCTGCCTAACTTAAATGAATGGACTTATATGGAGCCTAGATTCAGAGATACCTCCTGGTGCACAGTTTATTGCAGTTGGTAGGAAGCTTCTGTTTGGAAACAGAAAACGAAATGGGAAGTTGAGCTGTGGGATTTGGTAAGATACCCTGCTTGTATTTGCCGTGAAGCCATATCTTCCAAACAGCAGATTATTAGTCCTCATCTATGAAGATTTCCAATGTTGGCACAAACACTTAAGACTTTCAGACAAGTTGGTGCTGGTTTTAATTGTGAGCAAGTCACTGGCTTTCATTCTATTTTCAAAAGGTCTTTCTAGCTATTCAGACAGATTTGATCCTAGAGTGCTTAGAGGGCTGAGAAGTCTCTACATCAGTTTTTCACCAGCTTAAGTAGGTTGTTCATGCATTGGCAAGTCAGCCAAGCTTATGGGTACGTGAAATGGAAATCAGCATGGTGACTTCATCCTGCAGTTTGTTGTGCCAGAATCTCCACTCATTGAATTCTTCTGTTGGGCAGATACACCAGCTTTATGTTAGAATTGAGTTCAATAATCCATTAAATTATTAGCTTCACCATTTGAATGCAGAAGGTCCTTGGCATTTAATGTTGGCAAGTGTTTTCTTTTTTGTAATTGTTGTTGAGATTTCCGTCTTTAAAAAAATAATAATAATAATTAATTAATCTCACATCAGTTTTCTACCACCTTTTATTGCTAGCCCGTGGAAAAATCGGCAGCTGAGCGTGAACGGGAAGCAGAAAGGGAACGAGATCGTCATTCACCTTTTAGCCAGCGACATCTCCACACACACCATCACACACATGTTGGAATGGGTTACCCGCTTATACCTGGACAATATGACCCATTTCAAGGTGAGCAGAAGGTTTTGACTGATGAGTTTAATTTGCCTTGTCAAGTTGTTGCTTTGACATTGCAAGTCATGCCTACATGAAGCATTTTGAATAGAGATCCCCTTGTTAAATCAAAAATGCATTACATTTAAGAAGAAAGTTTGGAAACTCACAACTAGGACTGAAAGTAAATGAATAGCCTCATGCCTGAAGAGATACCAGGTTTTGTTACCAAGACTGCTACTTAGAATTTTATTAAAGATGTACCAGTTAGGCTGTGTCACTTGTGTGCATGTCTTGATTACTGTTGCAAGCTGACGTTAACTGGATGAAAGACACTGAAAAACAAACAATCTCCTTTTTATATAATTAGGATTGTGTAGGCAACGGAAGAAGTATAGCAAAGACAAAAGCTTTTTATAATGAGGATATTTTATGTACAAGGCATTGTAGTCACAAGGGTTTGAGCTTGTTATAATTCCAATGTCTGAAAGAGAACTCTTTGTATTTTGTCAGATGCAGCGCATAAAGTTACAATCAGGGAAAAGCAGCACAGTGACACATGATTCATTCTCTCTAGTCTCAGTCTCTGACCGTTTTTCAGTGAGTCTGGATTCTAGTTGAATTAAAAGGAGGTTTCCTCCCATGCAGCAAAGTACGTGCTATCACAATTGCTGGCTAAAACAGCATTAATTCATTATGTTCACTTGGTGTCTCAGCAGCTATTTTTCCTTTGTAAAAGTCTTGACGTGTCTCAGTTTGATTCAGTGATGCCATGTGCCTACGGGATGCATCATGCTTGTTCAGTAGGAAAACTATAAAATGGGAAGTCATTATGATAGCATTGTATTCTGAGCAGCTGGCATGTCGTGTCTGCAATTGACGGTGACTTTTGTTACTTGTTGTTTCCTGGTACCTGTTACTTCTACTGAGCTTACTGCTTAGGAATTCATACAAACCATTTAGCAGCATGCAGTGCAGTACTTGAAAATGAATACAATCAGTAGAAATGTTGTATTTTCTTGTAAAATATCTCTTAAGGACATTTCAGTATACTTAGAAGAAGGCACATAGATCATACTAGCCAGGCTTCCTTAATGCTATTGCCTGAAACATTTGCCATTGGTGTAATATTGACACCACGCCATTTCTTAATGGTGCTTTCTGTTTGTTTGCCTTAGCGATACTTCCTACTTTTTCTCACAAAGACCCATTAAAACCAGAAGTACATCAACATTCCTTCATTTCTTCTTTCCCTCAGGATTGACCTCTGCTGCCCTTGTTGCCACTCAGCAGGTGGCTGCGCAGGCATCTGCATCTGGTATGTTTCCTGCACAAAGAAGGTAAATAGCCAGTAAATCTTAAGTTATATATCTTAACACAGAGAGGAGAAAGCAAACAATAGATTTTATAACCTGATGGTTTGAACTTCCTTGTGTGAGGAGGAAATAAGGCTGGAGCTCTGGGATAATCATAGTTTTATTCTCATTGAGGTCACATTTTGTCCTGTTTTGCCTTTTAATTATAAGGTAGTTGATGAACAGGGAACAAGTAGTCTGCCTTCTGAGATTTTCCATAAATTACAAGTATTGGTATTGTTAAGATAAAGTAAGCGATTCTGAAATTATAAGTTAAAATCCACTTTTATGTATGTATTTATTTGTTTATTAAAAGGGATTAAAACTTCATGTTCAGTTACATCTGTGTCCTGTGAGGAAAACTTTAAGAGTCTATCTTATCTGGTTTGGCTGATTTTACTATCAGAGAGTTTTGCCTCTAGGTTTTCAGTAAAGTTTACTCTCCAAGTGTCATCCTTATTTTTCAAGAAGGAAGAGACTTTTCTGTACAATAATGATCCCATTTCAGCTGCAAAGCACAAAGCACCACAAACAGGGCTCTCTCGTTGCTGCCCTGTTAAGTCTTAAAGTTTGATTTATTAGTATTAGTACTATAAAGTTCTGTGGTTATGGTTGTCTTTCTGAAAGCTGACTCTGAACGCAAATGGGCGTGTAAAGCTCTCAGCTGAAATTATTTGAATAAGAAAGGTTGCTAGGTCAGAAAGGTCTGGTGCACACTAGGGTTTCAGTGTTAGTGCTTTTTACCTGCTAATATGTTCCTGGCAGGGGAAGGAAGAGGACGTGGCTTGGATGTCTTTCCTGCTTGGGTTTGAGAGTGCTGTGCAGATTTCGTTTCACAGTTTATCCGAGGTGCAGAAAATGTTAGGAAAAAAGAACAGCACATACTAAAACGTTCTTCTTTCTCTTTTCAGAGAATGATGAGTTTGGAGATGTACATTGTCATGTGACTGGATCACATGAGGAAGCGCTTTATTACAGACATCAGTTCCATGGTGTTAATTTGAGATGCCTTAATGGCAGGCAAAAACCAGTCATTTCATTTTTGTAAATTGCAGATTTTATCACAGAGTAACAAATGTTGCTGTAATTAGACTTCTGTTTTTATATATATATATGCGTATATATATATACATATATATATAAAAATATATATATATTCTTTACTTTTTTTGTATCAATAACCAGGCTCACACACAGGGTCTGCTGCTAAGTTGCAAACCACCTAGTAAAAGGAGAAATGTATTTGTCATGTTTAGAAAGTGTTAACCACAAAAGGTTGTTTGTTTCTTTTCTCTTCTTCTGTTTCCTTTTTTTTTTTTTCCTTTAAATTGTAAATAAATAATGTTATGTATCAGTGTGCCTGAACCTTGCGTACCCTTCTGATATTTCCCACAAGCTCTCAGAGAGGCTAACTGTGATGACACTTTGGTACAATGTAGATGTCTATTTGGTGGCTTCTATTAAGATGCATCAGTGTAAAATGTTACTGTATTCGCTGTTTCATTGTAATTGTGTATTGTGAAAAATATACCTTTGGAAGGCATGGGGATCTTAGTACCACAAAAACTGTGTTGTACATAATGTAAAATTTTTAAATGGAAAATAATGAGCATCTGTGAATAATGAAATGTCTTTTTTGATAATCTTGAATGGCAGATAACCAATAGCCTGCATAACAGAAGACATCTGTGATTGTTCTATTACTTGAATAGTCCTGCAGTCTTTTTTTTAATGTTTACAATTATCCAGTTTTAGAAGAGAGACTTTAATGCCATTGCCTGGTTACTTGTTTTATGCTGTAATCTAGTTTATTTTATGTAAAATGTATATTGAATGCTTTCATTTTTATACCTGCCTTAAATAATTTGGCAATCAGAATAAAGAAAAAAAGTTGTTTTTGTACTTTCTTGGTGTCTATGGGCCACTTCAAAAATGTGTGTTGTAGGCGTAGGTAGCAGAGCCTGAAGTTGCCACACAACTCCTAGTCTGTGTCTCAGAAGCATTCCCTGGGACTCAGTTACCAGTGTGCCCAGCAGCGATTCTCTGCCTTCCTTGCTGGGCCTGCAGTGCTGTCTTCTCCCAGGGGCAATGTGGGACCCAAGCAGCAGACCGCTTTCTGTTGACCCCAGAAGGCTTGGAAGAGGCCCATGGTAGACTCAGGTGGCATTTGTGGTACTTGAAAAGGCACTACAGGTTTGCCTTTTTTAGCACAGCTGTGTTACTATAAAATACAGGTGATTTTTGTGTGATATCTGTATTGCCCTCAAAAATAAGCAGGTGCACAAAAATGGAGAACATATAGCTTAAAAGAAAAAGGCCATTGCTGTGCTTAACCATTGGTACCTGTATTACCACAAAATAAATGTATTTTGTGGCCATATCGCCTATGTTGTTATATTGCACTAAACACAGTACACAGGATTACGAAGACACTAATTGTAACTTGAAAAAAAAAGTCAGATTTACTGGTCAGGTTTTTGAGGCTTTAAATTCTATCCTTTCCTACATATCCCAGTTGTATCACTTGTTGAAACTATTTTTTAAAGTTTAATATTGTTTTGGTTTTTTTTTGGCAGGGTGAATTAATGGAAGTTAGAGCTGTTTATGAAGTCCATTCCATTTCTCCCGCCTTGTGAATACTTAATACAGATGGATGAATTAAAGGTCCTCAGCAGACAAGCACACTTGGAGTTTTTATATTGCTATGATGAATCTGCCATTCATATTGCTATAATTGTTTTATTTTTGTAGGCGTAAAATCAGTTCACTTAGTGGCTAGTAGTAAGGCTTGTTGATTTTTAATATACATTATTTGTCTGTGGCTAACTTACATCTTGTTCTGAACACGTTCATAAGGCTCACAGTGCTGACATACCACAAACTAGTTTCATCAGAAATGGGCAGAAAAGGGTGCTTTTTTTGGAGATGGGGATATTGTGAATACAGAACTCCTGAAAAATAAGTGCCTTATGACTTCTATATTAAAAGCCTAGGTGGCTTTTGTACTGAGATATGCCATTGATTTCTTTTCTGTCTAGACTGCTAATGCTTCTGCAGCAAAACAGATCTTACAAATTCACACCATCTGTAATTTTGATTTGGTGTGGCTTAATATTGTGTTGTAGGTAACTGGAATGAATTACTCTGATTGACACAGGGTAAGCAGCAGCTAAAATAATATTTAATGTTATAGCTTTATTATGTCCTTGAAATCTGTAAGAGAGGCTTATGGTCATTGCCATTTATTGTCTTCCTCCACTAAGGTTAATTTTTTCCCTCTATCTTCATAACTTTCCTTTTGATTTAATGCTTTCCACTTCCTTAAAAGCTATGTAACTGGTTCAGTACTCCTCAAAGCCAAAAGCTGTTCAGCTACGTGTCCAAGCTTGACATGCAACTGCTGTAATCATCTAATCCCTGTATACCCAAATGATGAGCAGAATTAAACAGTAATATGAGGAAGGCAGTTTACAAACCTGGGAACTAAGGGCTGCAGAAGCTGATAGCTGGCAAAGGGCATCTGAAGCAGTGTGGTACAGATCTACATGTACCTCGGGCAGGGCTTGCACTCCTTGTGACTTGCAACTAACAACCCTACTGCTCTGCTCTTATAGCACCTACTATCAATGAACCTACTCTGTCTTTCATCAAAATGTTGCCAGACATCTCTTAGAGGTGAACTAGGGCTTTGATATTACACTTACTTCTCTGAGTTTCTAATCTGTCCATGCCATGCAGCTAGAGGAATGAAACGTCTCGTCAGTGGGAGCCCACCACACCAACCCACAAAGCCCAGCCAGGGAGCTATTGCCTGTGATGCTTGCACTGGGAAAAAACAGATGTGAATCAAGAGGCGGTAGGTTGTTTTGTTTTGTTGTTGCTTTTGATCAGTCTTGCAATTCTGGAGGCTGAAATAGGATGGAGATCTAAAAGACAATTGGATGGCTGTCCTAGCTAAACTATTGAAAATGGGGCTCAAGAGAAACATTTTTCCAGTTTTGTATGTGGCCTTGGGGAACACTTAAGAACTTACAGAACTAATTCTGTGCTGTTTCCTGCATCCCTTGCTTCTGAAGGGTGTGTTGCGTGGATGTAATCACTGGGTCATAAGTCTCCAACAAATGCTGGCAGTGCATGTGCCTTCAGTAGGTGTGAGATGAGAGAACACATGAATCCGTACTAGAATGTACCATGTACTGCTGATAGTACAAAAACTGGCATAAAAAAAGAGTTTCAGAAGTGCATTTCTGCAGTTCCTCAGCCTGGCTGTTATCAGGGAGGGTGAAAGAATCATGCAAGAAATCTAGTGCTTATTTCCTACTGGCATCACAATCTTGCCACTGATTGATCACAGCTAACAAATGTACTGTCCTCATCGTTCTGCCTCAGAATATCTCACTAAATAATGGTTTGCCATGTAAGAGCTCTCTTGCTCTTTCACACCTCTCTCCTACTCTTCTCCCTGCTTGACCACTTAACAAGCTCTTAAGCTTTCATCCATTCAGTACCATCAAAACTCAGTCTTCCTGTTTGTATAGCTAAAAACCCACGTAGATTTATGATCTCAAACCTTGATTACTTCTCTGCCTCTTTCCTTTTATCAACCTCCCTTTCTGAGCTGTGTTTTTAAACATATCTTATGCTGTGTTAATGCATCCTGTTTCTCTTCAGCCTGAAGTATTGTGGATAGTCTTGTTTCACCGTCATATAGAACAGGTCTTATTTATAGCTCCTTCTGAATAATAGCAATGGATGATTTTAATATAACATAGATGATAGTGTAAGTTCTCCTGAGTAGCTAGAGCAGACCATTATTAACAAGGACATTTTTAGACCATTATTAACTAACAAAAGACATAACAGTTTTAAAAGGAATTTTGAAATCATCTAATAACACAGGAACTAGGAAAAAATATCAAGCCCATAGAAGCAATTTGATGGTGTAATCAGAGAGAAATGGAGGTATACAGTCATTGCTTAATGAACCAGCTTTGCTTTTATTTAGAAGGAAAATTGTTTTCTTCATTTGTTTCAGTTTTAATCTTTTACGTATCTTGCTATATCAACGCTCCGTAAAATCACCATGAATTATGATTTTCTTTGATGGTTTTACTTACATCAGCATTTCCTAACTTCACATAGTTTTAGCCTTTTCTTTAAGTTTTTTTGATTTTTGTTTTTGAGCAAGTCCTACTGGTTACTTTTACGGAGAAATGCATGAGTATATCATTCCAGAGAAGTCATATTTGACTCGCAGAAGCAGCATAAACTATCTGCTTCAGTTTAAATGGAAAAACCCCAGGTCATTTTTGTTATGTTCTTCACTGCTTTCTTTAAAGCATGAGATTTAGAAAGTCTGTTTTTCATGGAAACTGGAAAACAAAAGAAGTCTAATAACCTGTATGTGTTTTTCAGCTCAGTTTCAGGACACCTTTACTGATCCAGAGACCATTTTCTGCCTTACCATAGTGCACACAAAGTCCTTTCTAACCTATCCAGTGTCTTTTAGCAGTTGAGTCTGTTATTCTGAGGGAGGGGAAAGCTTTTCAAAGACACTATTTTTCACCTTCTTAACCATTTTAAGGTAGTTTGATGGTTGTAGGAAACCATTAAAATCCTTATAGCGACTCTTAGGAATTGCAACCAGCTAAATAGTGTTCTCAACTCTTAAACTTCTTATCTAGGCTGATAAATGAGCAAACTCAATGATTTTGCACAGGTAATTATTACTTGCCACTGACAATATTTATCATGTAGAAAAGTTGTTATCCACTGTAATGTCGTAAAGAAGTGCTCTGGGAACTTTGAAAGCAGATGTTATTATAGACAGATGAACTGCTATAGATTAAGGTGATAACTAGTTCTGTTTCAGTAGCTACATAGTGTTTTCAGCAGCTTTGTGAAATATTTTGAGGTGGTATAATGGTGTGTGTTAGTTATGTGATTTCCATCATTTGAATTTGCTGATGTAGAACTGTGCTTGTTTGTAGTTTTCAGCATAATGCTTCAGGGTTGGTTTGTGAAACTGAGTAGTATAGTAGCACCCGATGAAAAAAGAACTGAGGAAGCAACAATTCTCTGAAAGCCTGTTTAAACCCTGAACACAAATTTCAAGGTATGCATGTTGACAGATAGAGTAAATGGTTGCAGTCCTTGGCTGGAGAGGATGGATGGGACCAGGACAGTCCCAAGGAGCCCCTGCCCCAACCTGAATGTGGTAAACCAAGGACCTGCAGTTTGCTGCTGCAAGACTTGTTTTGGAACTATTTCTAATAGAAGAGTATGCAGGAGATGTGCTTCAGTCGAACCCTTGTTAATATTTTCTTAATTAGCCCAGTGAAAGTCAAAACAGTGGAAATAAATAAATAAAGATAAATAGCTCCAGAGTTTTCTGATCAGAGAACCTCCTAGGTAGTACTTGCTGCAGTTTGCATTTATAAAACTTTTGTCCACGTGACACTAGAAATAACTTGAGGGAGGAAGGGAAGATTTTCCTCTCCTCCATGCCTCATGAATGACTGAAAGGGACAGGATTTGCACTTAGTTTTAAAAAGAACTGGCCTTTAATATGCGTGCTGAGATTGAGTAATTTTCTTGAACAGAACCGGTTTCTACTTGATAAGTCTTCATTCTGCTGTGCTGGCCTTCAGACATCTGCCTACCTTATTCCTTTGAGTATCTGTGTTTCCTTGGTGACAGCAGAAGGAAGCAGATCAAGGACTAGAAGGACTGTAGGGATGGCCTGACAGTTCTGCTTTTCCATTGCTTCTGCATGCAAGAGCAAGGCTTTTGTAATTCCTTTTCTCCTCACCTTTCCCTACCTCTGTCTCCAGGTCAGTTTTAAGTGTTTGCAGTGATAAGCCCCATCAAGCTGCTGATCTTTTAAGCAGAGCTCCAGACAGAAAGGTCATTAAAATGTCAGTGACACAATATGTTTTCCATGCCTTGCTTTGGGATGTAACAATTTAATACCAGGCTTTGCCTCGAGTATCTGCTGAGCCCCTTAATGATCTTCCTACTTTCAAATGAATTGGTTTCCTCTAATAGAGAGTTTGCCAAAATCCTCATCCTCTGTAGATGTCTTGTGACTTACTGATGTCAGATGGCCATTTTACATTTTATGTATTGTAATTTAATGTTGATGAGTAGTTCAGCACCAACATAACATTTTCTCATTCCCTTTCCTCAAAGAGCAGGGGGAGAAAATAGTAAAAAAGGCTGAAGGAGAAGGACAGGGAGATTGTTCCCCAGTTGCTGTCATGGGCAAAAGAAGTGTAGCATAAGACACTGAAGCAATTTGTTGCCAACTAATAACAGGCCAGAGCAATGAGAACTAAAAGCAAACAAACTGAACCACCATCTTTCCATCCATATTCTTTGTTCATCTCCCCACAAATGCCACAGAGGAACAGTGGACAGTGGCTGCTGTGGTCAGCCGATAACACTCTATCCCTGCACCTCTCCACGGTCACTCTCCGCCCCTGCTGCACGTGGGTCCCTCCCATTGATGCCATCCTTCCCAATCTGATCCTGCATAAGCCCCCCAGGCAGCAGCTCTCCAAGCAC